TACGCGTGCGACGAACCCGGGTGTGACTTCAGGACCACTCAGACGAACCACCTCAAGTCGCACAAGCGCACGCACAGCGGCGAGCGGCCGTACGCATGTGACGAGCCTAGGTGTGACTTCCGGGCCACACGGTCAGGCCTCCTCAAGGCGCACAAGCGCACGCACACCGACAGCGTCTAGCAGGCAGTTGAGCGTAACCACAACATCGCGGCTCCGTCCGTTTAATAGTTTACAAAGGACAATTTGCGAACGAACGTGACTTTGTTCATTGTTGGATTGTATTGTTACAGACTGCAGCTACTAGCTTGGTAGCTAACGAACCGTTTTCTTACCGCACATAATTAATGCCCCCAACCGAACTCATCCGCGGCCGGTGCACCGCTCTGCCCTCCCTGCGCCGCCGCGCCCGAAACCGGGCTCGGGGCTCGCCACGTGCTCAGCTGGCACTTCTTGAAGTGTGGAGCTAGAATCGATTTCCGGGCAGGCTTGCAGGCTAAGGCGGTCGGGATCGCCTCCGGCTGCTCGATCCACAGGTGGTGAGCGATGCCGGCGTCGGCGAGCCTCTGCGCGAGCGTGATGAGCTGCGCCTCGCCCTTCACCTCAAGCACTGCCTGTTTATTCAGTTAATTAAGAGGAGGATTATTGCGTCACCCTGTCCGGCCGGCTAAAAACCCCTCGTTGGAAATTGTGGCCGGGGGAAGGAGATAGCAGACGCCCCCGTGAAAAGGGGCTGGTTCGGCGAGCTGCGAACACAGCGCACGTTATTCTAATTTTATTGTAATATTAATTTTTACCTTGTGCATGCCTCCGAGAGCGTCCACCGCGATGTACGCGCGCACCTCCTCGTCCTCGAGGTGCGTCACGATGGCGGCCACGGACGCGTGGCAGCCCTGCGCCACGAGTGAGCCGAGCGGCCAGCCGATCTTCTCCTGGAGGTCGCGGCGCAGGACGACGTACTGGAAGAGCGGATCGGCGTCGGACATGGCGTCGGACATGGAGAGCTTGGACATGGAGAGCGCACGTGTGTTGGACATGGAGAGCGTACGCGTGTCGGACATGGAGAGCGCACGCGTGTCGGATATGGAGAGCGCACGCGTGTCGGACATGGAGAGCGCATGCGTGTCGGACATGGAGAGCGCGCGGCGTGGCGCGGTGCTGGTTAGCCTCGATCGAGATCCCCGACCAGAGCTCGGCACAGGTGGCACGGCGCGGGCCGCTGCTGCCGTAATCTGCAGTCGGGAGGAGCTGCACACTGCAAAGAGTGCACACGAGCAGAACGCTCTGCGCGTTGTGGCTGTGGCCGCCATGCGCGTGCATTTAAAAACTGAGCTTCGCAGTTCGGGGTCGGGTGGCTCGGCTGCTCTACAAGCGAGCCTCACGGGCACTCCGACGCGGGGCCCTAAGCTGCACTCCGACTCCAAATCTTGCTCAAAACCGGATCGTGGAGGTCGCACCAAGCGTCCACCGGGGACGTCGCGCGATTGAACATTTGAACCTGAACTTAACGTTTAAAACTTAAGCTTCGCCGAGCGTGTCGCCAACTTGGCGAAGTCCAGGACGCGCGGCGATCGGGTTGGTGAGGTCGCGGAGCCGAGGTGAATCGGAGGCGATGCACGGGGCCGCACTGCTCTGCGCGCTCGCGTGCGCCGCGTGGGCGGTGGGGAGCGCGATGGGGAGAGGCGCTGAGCGCGGCAGGGGCGCCGGGCTACCCTCGTGCGCAGACGAGCGGAGCAGCGCGGCCATGCGCACTCCGGCCGAGGCAGGTGCTCCACGGCGTGGCCTCTCCATGGACCTGCGCAGAGCCAGCGCGGGCGCGCTAGCCGGCGCGCTGGCGAACGGGTTGCTGCACCCATTGGACACAGTGAAGACCATCCGGCAGACAAGTCCGAAGGACTTCAGCGGTACCTTCAAGACGCTTGGGCGGATATGGAGAACTTCGGGCCCGCGCGGCCTCTACGGCGGGTTCGGAACCGCGATGATCGGGGCGATGCCCTCGTCTTTTCTCTTCTTCGGGACCTACGAGTTCATCAAGCAGAAACTTCATAGCTTGAACCCGGACTGCAGTGTGGAGGAGCGTGCGCGCATCCACGTCATGGCAGCCGCGGCAGGCAACGCGGTCTCGTCGTTGATTTTTGTACCCAAGGAGATGGTGAAACAACGGCTGCAGCGGGCAAGAGTTCAAGGCGTTGCCACGGGCGTTCGAAAGGTCGTCGCTACCATCATTAAGGAGAACGGGGTTAAGGGCCTCTACGCAGCATATACTGCGACGATTTGCCGGTGTGTCTCCTCTCCGACACACTAACACACACACACACTTATATATACACACACCTATGTATTCCACTGACTTTCCTGGCTGTGTCCCTTCTTCTTCTTCTTCTTCTTCTCTCTCTCTCTCTCTCTTTTAGGAATATTCCGACGACTGCCCTCAACTGGCTGATCTACGAGGAGCTGCGCCTGCGTCTGAGCGCGGGAAACGAGTCATCTGTCATCCGCTCGCGCTCAATGGTCTGCGGTGCGATCAGCGGTGCGATCAGCTCCATCGCTATGACGCCCTTGGACGTAGTCAAGACGCGGCTTGCTACCGGCAGCTATATCGCAAGTCTCGGGCTGCGCGGTGGGCTGTTGAAGCTTGCGAGGGAGGAGGGGCTTGCCGGGCTCTTTGCGGGCGCTAAGGCGCGGATGGTGGGCGCTGCGCTTTTCAGCGCCATCGGGCTCTCAACATACGAGGCTTGCAAAAAGGCCTTCCGATGCGGGGACGAAGCCACGGCGGCGGCAGCGGCAGCGGCGGGGCTGGTGACCGCGGAGGAGGAGGCGATGGTGACACCCAAGCTGCGAGCGCGCGTCAGAAAGCGCTCGGCTTGAACCGCCAGCTCTCTCCTCCCCCCCCCCCCCCCCCCCCCCCCCCCCCCCCCCCCCCCCCCCC